GGAGAAAGAGTGGTGCGGGTGGGTGGCCCTGCGGATGCTGCGCTGCCCTCCCTGCCTTGCAAGTGAGGCCACGGCTTCAGCGACTTCTTTGCTTTGCAGTGGCCAATAACTATCAGGAAAAGCTGTATTTTTAGCACCTGCAGTGTTGACTTTTCCTGATAAAAATGCAGACATGTCCACAGTAACGTTTGTACTCACAGAACTGAAAGATGAATGTTTTGGCTGGCTTGCTTATTGCACCTTTGATTGCCGTCGCGGTGACGGCAGGACAAGGCACGTGTTCACCTGCGGACAAGTCTTCTAAAACGGTCACGAGGGAACGTTTCAGAAAGCAGGGCGGGATTCCCAGCCAGCTAATGAGGCAGAGCCTGCACTAAGGCAGTCGTGCAGCCTGCTAGCCAGGTGTTTCGAGGATCTGTTAAGCACAAAAGTGATGGTGAAATTGTCACGGCTGGCTCCGAAGGACGGGAGGCAGTGGTGGCCGTGTGGCCGGTGCCCCTGGTCGTGCCAGGAGCGAGCCGGGAGCTGCGGCGCTCCAGGTGCCACGTGCGATGGGAGAGGACGGCTCCAGGGCCGGTGCCCCAGGAAGCAGCTCCGGGCAGCGACCCTGGGGCCGTCCCTCCTTGGGCTCCTGCCGTGGGAGCTCTCTCACGCGGCCCCCGGGAAGCCTGGGCTCCCGGCACCAGCCCTGCCCTTTGTAGCTGATGTGAGGTTGTCTCTCCAAAAGGAAAAAAGAAAATCCTTCCCCATGTCTCAAACAAAGCAAGTCTGGTAGCACTCGACTAATTGCAGGGCTCTTTTGTCTTTTTTGTCGACATTAAGCTAATACGTGATGTGGCTTCTAGCAAGTACCCCTGCATTAACTTCAGCTGGAAACTTGGCAATGAAAATGTCAGGCCAGACAGCTTCTTAAATGAAAATGTAACATGAATCGGTCATGCTCTTCTCTCTTCTGGTGAAATGTCTGTTGTATTGGGCTTTTCCAGAGCCCTTCCTGCTCTCGCCCTACCTGCTCGTCCTGCAAAAGGCAGGAGCGGAGAGGCGCCCGCAGGCTGTGCCGTGCGCAGGGCTCCAGGGCTCGGAGCGTGGTTCCCTGTTCCAGCAGCATGTTCCCTGGCTCTGCAGCGGGGAGCTGGCTGCGCGTCCGGCGCACGTGCAGCAGGCGGCACGGGAGCGTGGGTGGGATAGAGGGTGTGCGGATCCGCCGGGCAGCGTGGGCCCTGGCCCGGAGCCAGCGGGATGTGCATGGAAGTGTCAGGGAGGCAGTCGGGCAGACGCGCTGGGGATGGCGCCCCTTTGCGCAGGGAGAAGGGGCTGGAGGGGCGG